TTTGATTTAACAACGGATGCTTCATCTGTTGGTTTAGGTGCAGTCTTGTCCCAAGATGGAAAATTGATAACAATAATATCAAGGGAACTGAAAGACCGAGAATTAGATTTTTCAACAAATGAGAGGGAAATATTGGCCATAGTTTAGAACTTTAGAAAATAATTATATGACGTGAAAGGCTTGAATATTTTTATTTTAAATTCCATTTGTGTGAAGTTTTCGTGTTTCATTCAGTTTTTCTCCTATTTTTTGTATGTTATAATTAATATTTTTGCGGTTTTTTGGTCTCTATCTTTTGTTGCTTCCATTGTGTTATTCTGTGTTTTGACGTTTGTGGCTAGTTCTCCTTAATATCTTTGTTCGTAAATAATTATCTTTTCTGCATACTTTTAGGCAGTTACATTAAATAACTTACCACACCATTTCCAAAATTACACTATTTCCTTAGTTACTTCAAATAAAAAAAAAATAATAACTAACATGTATCATTTCCCTATAGTCGATATTTAATACTCTAATAATGGCTTGTTCAAATAAAGATTGTGTTGTTAGAGACATCATTGAACGGTTAATATCGTGCTTTATTTGCGATAAATTTTGACATCTTATATGTGCTGGCTTCAACGGTAGACAGTTTGACTTTATTACAGACAAGGCTAAAGTTCTGCGTTGGTCTTGTTTTGAATGTAGACATTTACAAGTTGATTGCCTATTTAAAGAAAAGCTTTAATTTAAATTTTAAAAAATTTGAAAAAATTGAAAAATTTATCAGCAGGTTTGAATTTTCTGATGACTCCCCTAAGAGACAAAGACTTTAGTTGAAACTAACAATCTTGGCCAAAATACCTTAGGTCTCGATAACTTAATATGTCTAAATTCTCCAATTTCGCAAAATCCGCCTCCTAATATTAATAATCCATCAAACGAATGCCGCAAAGACTTAGACCTAACCTCCGATGCTTCCACTTCGACTGCAAGCATTAATTCCTCAAAAAGTGTAAAAGCTAACCCACCTGCAGTAGTGGTGCATGCTCCAACTATAACTTCTACAAACTCTTCCGCGGTTGTAGATGACGTTGATCCCTCTACTTCTAACACTTTTATCGTTGTAGAACGGCGTAAAAAAGTATTTGTATCGCAGCTATATAAAAAAATTATATAAAATCTAATCTAAATGGAGTAAATGATCAAGATTTAAAGATCTTTAAATTTCGTTCCTCTTAGCAAGGTGATATTTGCTTGTACGAAGTGAATGACATTTTAATTAAAGACAGATTATTGGACTTAGCCTTCTCTTCTTCGTTGAACATTTCGATTTCCAGATGCTCTCCCTTTGTACTTCTTGAGGACAACTATCATTCCACGCTGTTGATAATCTCGAATTGAGAACCTCTTCTCCTAATATAATATCTACTTATGCTTTAATTAAAAGGCTTAACTTTGGAAAACAAACCTTAAACACGAACACTATATGGCGTATCAGTAACGACATTGACTCCAGTGTCTCAACATTCTATGATCAACTTAATTCTGCTTTATCTTATTCTTATTCGGTACCTATTCTCATCATTAAATAAAGATGACACAGAACTTGTTGCATAATTCCAAAAACTTTTTCAAATCTGTAAAATCTAAAAGGAAAGCACAAAAATTTCCAAGTCGCATGAAACTTGGTAGTATTAAATCTAGTGATAACTTAGATATTGCTAATTTATTTGCCGACATTTTCCATAATCTTATACGTCGAACACTTTTAAGGGTATTTATAACTACAATATCGGGAAATTAAACTATTTTCCTAGCATTATCTTAACAGAAGATGAAGTTTATTCTGTGTTAAGAATATTACTTTCTTTGTTCTCCGCTGATCCTGATGGCATTCCAACGTATATTCTAAAATCTTGTGCTAACGAACTTCACGTGCCGCTCACTAAAATTTTTAATTATTCTCTAATAAAAGGTTATTTTCCATGTTACTGGAGGTCGAACTTTGTCATTTCTCTTCATAAATCAGGAGATAGGTGTTCAGTCGATAATTAAAGATGTATCGCTAAATTAAGCGCTATTCCCAAACTCTTCGAACTTTTAGTTTCGCGTAGGATATCACATTACCTAAAAGCTATAATTTCACCTTTTCAATATGGATTCATGAAACGTAGATTTACAATCACTAACCTCTTAGAATTTGTTTGTCATGTACATAACGGCTTTGTTAGTAAACAGGAGACTGATGTAATTTATACCAATTTTAGCAAAGCTTTTGATACGGTAGTGCACATGCTATTGCTCCTTTAATTATATTTAATGGATTTTGGATATCCTCCTATTTAGAATGTCGCTCCCAAAATGTTCTTTTTAATGATACATCTTCGAAAATTATTATACCCTCCACCAAAAACTCTACATTTTGTCAATGCATACGATGAAATAAACATTTTGAAAACATCCGAATTTGAATGTTTTCTGAACAATTTTTTTGTTATTGAAAAGAAAACACATACATAAACAAATAAAGATGACATATTAAGCCAAGAAAATAAAAAAATTTAAATCATATGGTATCATAGCCCTACCTTGATATCATTGTACCATGGTTAAGCATGTATTAGGCATGTGGTTGGAACTTAAAACTCATTTTAATGTTGTCCATGACAAGCAAAAGGAGTATGTTTTGACATTACTAAGAAATATGTACAACGATCAGAAAAATTTCATTTATCTAACATATTTAAGTTCAATATTGGGTGAAGTTCAAAGAGTAAATTTGGCCTTTGAAGCAGACAACGCACATCAAGCAAAATTCCATTGTGACTTGTATCGTTTACTTAAAAGTTTAACCAAAAAAATTATTGTAGAATCATAAAGTTTTAATTATTTTAAAGATCCTATTGAAAATTCTACCTTGGGCATAGTTTTGAGAAAGCGTGTATGGATTCATTGATTTCAGAAGACGAAAAAAAAAAAAAAACAATTAAAGAAAAATGTATTATATTCACCAAACATCTTGCATACGAAGTCCGATGTAAACTTCCAATCAAGTTTGAAACATTACAAAAGATATCATTGTGGATGTCATTTCTAATATGGAACTTAGTATTGATAACATCAGAAATTGTGAATGGAAGAATAAAGATCGAACAGATCTTTTCTGGATAGAAGTAAATGAGTTCAAAGATTCCATAGGGCAAAATCCCTTTCAAGATTTATCAGAATTCGTTATAAGACTGTTAAGCTTCCCATACTCAAATGCAGAAGTAGAAAGAGCATTCAGTGCTATGAATTTATATAAATCGAAAATCAGAAACAGATTATCCTTAAATTCTGTAAATTCTATTTTACATATTAAATATGGCCTTCGTCGAGAGAATACGTGCTGTTGCAAATGTCTGTAAAAAAATTTCTATACAAGAAGTTTACAAAAAGTCAAACTATTTTCTACAAACTGTCTTATGGCAAAATGAAGAAACTGATGCAGACATTTCAACTGCATTTCAAGCTATGGGTTTTGTGGATGAGCATAATTGTTTGTAAAAATTTATATGTCTGTAAGTTTTAACCACATGTAAAATGTTCCTAATATATCATATTTTTTAAAAATATGTATGCACATATATCTGAAATATTTATATTAGATATGATCTCAATTTTTGAATTAAACAGTATTTCTAATATAGCATTTTTTTAAATATGTATTCGCTTATATACATGAAATATTTATATAAGATACGATCTGAATTTTTGAATAAAACAGTACTTACTTAGAAAAAGTGTTTTGTTGACAAGTTCGACATTTTGGTAAAAAATACATAGCGCTTTTTACGCTTTCTTAAGGACATTTTTACGCTATTTACGCTTTTCTGGTTTTTAATTACGCTTTTAGCTCTCAAAATGTTGGCATCGCTGCTCATAGGAACAATAAACATTCATCATAGGTATGCTAGAAGCATTAAAAGTTATAGCCGGTACTCCAGATTATGATGAATTTGTAGATATTAAATTTAAGCAAAATGACCTCATTGATTCAGGCCATAGGCAGATAACAATTAATACAAAGACTCATGAAAGAATAAATGAATTGGCAAGCACAGTAAGAGGTTTAAAAGACAAATAAAAACGGAACATTTTTACGAAATTTTAATTTTAAGAAGAAGAATCATTATTTCTGAACTTGAGAACCTAATGTTATCAGCAACAATTACAAGGATAGAAATAATTGATCCTACAATTTTGGTCTCAAATGATTTAGAAGGTGTAATTAAGCGTCTCTCTACCAATATTACAATAACACATATTACGGAAGTATCACAAATCTAAGTTTTATTAAGTAATACACTTGTACACTTTGTAGTAAAATATCATAGAGTTAAACTAGTTCATTGGAAAATAATCCTACATCCAGTTCAACACAACGATACTATTCTCAACTTCGCCGAAAGCAATAACGTAGCAGATTGCGGTGATCAAGTAATTCCAATTGCTAACTGCTGCTCCACATGTACGACAACAGTCCGTAGACAGCTGCCCAACACAACATGCGCACACTACACCATCCATCCAGCCATCTTGAAACTTGATAAAAAAATTATTGGGGACGGCTTTATCATCATCAATGACGAAAAAACTACAATTAACGGTCGACTGGTAATAGGAACATCCCTCTTTATATATCATAAACTAAAGAATTATGTAAAAATATCCCCTGCACCTGCTGTGTCAACATTGCTTAATAAAACGGGACATCACGAAATACTGAGCTTGTCCTACTTGCGAAAGTTATGCTAGGAACACAATTGGAGCGAACGACGAATTTTTTCGCGGCGTATGTTCGTCGTCAAAAATAAAAACCATATGTGTATATGGAAGTGCACACAATTACGGCGCCGGCGAAAATTTCGTCGGTCGCCGCGAACTCAATTAGCTTTATTTCTATTTCATACGCCGGCGAACGGCGACAAAACAGTACAAGGTGGCCATACTTGTACGAATTTTATGTGTTTTAGTAAATAAAGTTACTTTTTACTTAAAAATTTGTTATGGTCACTCTACTATCTGTTATTCGTATAAAAAAACATAAATAATTTGTTTATTTATTTGTGCACTTGCGCCTGAGTGAAGATGGATATCAGTGAATTTATAATAGAGAAGATGGACATAACTGAAATTATAAATTATGAGTTCTTGTATAATTTTCATTGAAGTCAACAAATGAGCAAAAAGTAAACAACTTCATCAGCTGTTTTATAATTTCGTCGGTATTGTGTTCCATACGACGAATTTTCGCGGCTCATTTTGTCGCCGCGTAGGGCGAAATTCGTCGTTCGCTCCAATTGTGTTCCTAGCATTAAGCTTGCAGAACTTGCGATATAATGGTGACACTGAAGAACTACTAATAGCCTTCATGTTCACTTATTATACCTTCCTCAAACGTTATCAGAGACGTCAGAAGGCTCGCCGCCAGCATGAACTTCAAGTTATCATTGATGAGCAAGGGAGGAGTTAACACCGTTTAGTCGAACCACCCTACTGTCTCGCTGATACACAAACATCAGACCAGCGAACTCAAGCTTCAGTTGTTACATTCGGCTATGGGAGTGACTTGTAGCTTAGCACAAGTGTCGTGATAACAGCAGCATACTGCTTTGCGATCGTAGAATGGAATTAAGTTTAGTTTTTAAAAAGAACTCGATAAAGTGGCAACTTATACATACTTTGTGAGGTCCATTATGAGCAGTATAAAACAGGATAACAAAGCTAATATACTCTCTATAGAATGGTGGAGGGTGTTCATGTATTTTGATTGGTTTAATTGTAAAGTGTGTGAGTTTCTAAGAAACGAGACTTTGTCTTTGCGCGTGATCTCAACGAGAGCGTGAAGTTTCATATGAGCGTAAGTGAAGTTTCATATGAGCATAATAGTGAAACAAGGCGAATATGACTTTTAGGAGAAAGTGCAGGAAAGGATTCTTTTAAACTCCGATAGTTGTTTCAACAATGTTCCGACACTTTGTATGAACGCTGTTGAATGTCATTTCTTGTGAAAGAAGCCAAGGCTCAAGAGGGTATCCATCACCTTAAAATAAATTAAATAAATTATGTACATATGTCGATGTTATTAATTCTGTACCTTACGCACCTAGCAGCCAAAAGTTAGTTTCGCCCTGTAAGTATTCTTCTTCACAAAAATATTCTTAAATAGCTCGTGTTCCACACGAAGGACTCGTGGCAAGCCCCAGGATGTGAAGCGTGGACATATCGTATTTAAAGTTCATGGTCACTATAAGGAAAGCGAGCTACAGATGTTTGAACGTATACACACCATTCTAAACTTACTAGTAGTACATTCATGCTGAACTTTCTATTATAGAAAAGATGCTTGTTGTCGGTTGGCGCAATAATTTGCACGTGGGTCCCATCAATGCACCCAACAACACCAGAAATTCTATGTTTTTTGTAGAATTCCAAAGCAATAGTCAGTTTCTCTCGATAGTCTTCGGTACTCGGATCCATTTTGCACACAAGTGAGCCTCAAGTATATTTACCAAGAAACTTGCATAGAGTAGATTGTGCAAGCCCGATGTCGCAGTCCTTTCCAATGCCCATCTTATACCCTCCTTCTGCGAAGAAACGCAATGCAGCGCTTAGCATTATTATTGGAAAAATTCCAAATTATTTTTTCTTCTGTGGGTAGTTTTTGGAGACCACTTCCAACAAATAAATTAGTGCTGGCTTGTTTACTCGATAGTATTTTCTAAATATAGAAAAATACATATGAAATAGTAAAAAAACAACTGCTAAAAAAAATTAGTGAACATACAGCGATTCTGGCAATTCAAGCGGGTTATTTGCATCTCGAATCTCTTACTTTTTTTAATGCTCCTTCTCCAAATAAATGCGTATTGCAATGCTGTTCATTTTCTTTTTTTAAATACTTTAATTATTTTGAACACTTCACACTTAACCGTAAAAATCAATAAAAGTTATATAAATGCAAATTTAGTATGGAAGGGAAAACAAAGTGCTAAAACGTCAAACAGCTGATTTTAATGTTGCTACATTCCCACTTTTTATTTCCCCTCGAAATTCGTGATATGAGGATTTCTTTCCCAAGAAAAGTATTTTTCGAGGGATCAGAACAACAAAACAACTCCAGCGAAAATGTCGGAAGATGAATTCTTTCTATACAAAGGATTTTAAAAATTAAGGAATACATGCTTAATTATTCATGATTGAACAACATAAATTTCTTGACTGGTCGTTGAACAATTTCTTTTAATTTTATGATGTGCACCGACAAAACTTATTCCATTATCCTAGGGCAACAGCAACGACCAATCGCCGCTAAAATTCAGCAAGGGATGAAGCTTCTAAGGAAAGTGCTTTGGTTGAATAGCAGACGAAAACACATATATAACCTTTTGTGATAATGACACGCTCTACCCGTAAACGACTTCATATCAAAGGGTCCTGCGAAATCAAGACAGTAGTTTGGAACGCTCGAGTAACTACGGTTCTTTCTCGAGGAAGAGCTCCCTTGATTTCAGTACACGAACGCTTTTTCTCAAAGATACTTATCTTACAGGAATTGACAACAAACCGAACTAGATTTTTTATCCAAAGAATCCAATACTCGATACGTAGTGTAAGAAGCATTAATTTAGTTCCACCATGGATAAAAATAGCCTGAATAAATTTTGCAAGCAAACGATTGAACCTGCAATAACACGGCAATATTATTGGTTTTCAACTAAAATTTATTAAAATAAATTTCACTTTTGTTACGAGTTGGCTCACGAAACGAAATAGTAGTTAATGAGTAGTTAACTACATCCATACAAGCAATACGTAGCAAAACAACGTCAAAAAAGCCATAAATTCGTCCGATACCTCCCATGGAAATTCTTTTGCAAGTCTTTTTAAACCGAACATGGCATTTACTCATGGAAACATTTCAAAACCATCATTTATACAGGATTTCTTAAAACTTGCAAATATATTTCTTGATCCTGAAAAGCTAACATTCTGTACTTCCTTTGATGGATTTATCATCGGTGGAGACCTTAACTCCAAAAAACCTGTAGGGGGTAATTTGAACGAAAATTAAAATGACAAAGTTTTGAATTCATGGCTAAACAACAACTCCTTAGATGTGAATCGGTTTTGTGACACATCGCCGTCGTATCCAAATGGTCTGTCTTTCTTGGACCATATCTTAAAACAATGAGATTGAAATAATCGCCGAGAACTTCAACAATGAATTTAACAGCATTCATAGCACGCATTCAGAAAAGATATTCGTAAAAGACGGAAAATTCCCTCTTTCCGAAAGAACTAAAAACTTTCTTAAAGTCAAACACCAATGGCAAAAAGAACTAAAAAAAATTCCACTGTACAGGCAACAGAATCAACCGTGAGTACATAATTCTCTCAAGACAAGTTCAACTACTTAATAACATGATAATGAGCTTACAAAAATAGAATCTGCCAAATATTCAGCAACCCCCAGGAGAAGTAAATAGCGGAGTATTGGCACAGCAGTATTTTGGCACCATTTCTCTTCAATCTATTCCTTCATGACTTTCCTCACATCAATGAAAACTCAAAAGCAATTTTAATCGCTGATGATTGCCTCTTTTACGCGCATTACAAATCACCGTCAATTGCATTAAATAATGCAAAAAATCACCTTCAGATAATTAACTGCTACAAAAAGTGGGGTATACAAATAAACGCCGCGAATTCTGCTGCAATCTGCATACGTAACGCCTCCAGAAAATGTCCATGGTACGTTGTCCCAGAGAGCAAATCATTACAATTGTCCTTCGACAATTTAATGAAATTTAATTTCCATGCCCGCTCAATCATGCAAAAAGGAAAAGGTGTTTTAGCAAGATTTGCATATGCGTTGAACAATAAACACATACCTAAAAAACGAAAATCCTGCACTACAAGGTAGCAATACGACCTATTTTGCTCTATGGATTTCGGAACTGGTTCCTAAGAACTGGAACTGGATTATAAGAAAATGTATCAACAAAAATTTCACAAATGATACTCGACGGCAAATGTCAGGAGTGTATGTAAGCTTCTAGGGCAAAATAATATGCAAGCACTACAGAAACTATCAACAACTAACACGGACCATGTTGTTGTTTTTTTTTTTAATTGCATACATATACATTTAAAGAGGTATACGTGGCCAGTTCCTCTGACTCCAAGCAGATACCTAGGGTTGGAGGGAGAGTCAAGAGTACGTCATATATTAACTAGGGAACAAATATCTTTATTATTTTGGCAAATATTAGGATTTTCGGTAAATCGAAGAAGAAATGGTTACGCCAAGGTATATGTTCGATACATTGTCCCCCTTCCCCAGCATTACAATTAATTACACTAATTGGCCGCTCAGTCGAGTTCAATGGGGAAATCTTCTCTGCCTCTCTTTTAGGAGTCACATTCGCCTAGTTCGGATTGTGGGGGAGAGCTTACGCTCTCTTCTGCACTTTCTCCTAAAAGTCATATTCGCTCAGTTCGTATGCAGAGAGGCACTTTCCAATGCTGCGGTTGTCGTTGCTGGTCACGACCTTGTGCCGTTATTGTGCTCATCTGCAACTACACTTGTTCTCTCGCTTTCGTTGTGATCACACGCATAAGGTAACGTCTCGTTTCGTTTGAAACTCACTTCTTTACAAATAAACCATTTGAGAATACATATACACAAAACTGCATAATCCTGTGTGTTTATTTTCTTTCTTTTTGGGTTTATTTGTTCGGGTATCACGCCTTTGGTATCACGCCAACATTTTGGTCCGTTCGAGCCGGATAATAACTTGCCTACATTTGAGACGGATCATTCACACAAAGTTGTTGCAGTTTTTCTAATTTTCGCTTTTTCCCTATCACAAAAGGAGAAAAATTACCAACATCAACACCCCCCTCATCAGTACGCATCACCTTGCCATCACACATCATCTCATACAACATCAACAAACACTCGAAGGTACGTAGTTCAGTTTCTTTTTATATTGAGCATATCGCGAGTGTTGTCTTTTTTCCATTTCGTTTCGTAAAAACATTGCTTTTTTGTTCCATACGTCGCATACTGGTCGCCCTACAATTATCTTAACGCGTGCGTTTAAGCATAACATTAAAAATACAGTACACATAAATTCGTTAGTTGTCCTAAATAATCGCATTAAAATAAATATTCCCTCTAATATTTTGATTTATTTTAATACATTCGCGCATTATTCAAAAAAAAAAAAAAAAAACGATAATTTTTTACTTTTATTCCTTCATAGTTTTTTACTATTCGCATATTATTGATTTATTTTGTCTGTCGGTGATTGATCGGTCGTGCTTGCTTGTTTTTTCTCTCTATACACTCCTTCCATTTGTCGCTGAATTCGCCAGCCACTAGTGAGAAAAACAATAACAACACTACTACTATCCATCGTGACCTTTTTTCTTGAAATTTACAATATACCAACAATTTCTTCCTATTCCCGACTCTCACTGTTAGATCGGTTTCGTTGGTTTATTTTTGGTTCTATTGCAACAACAAGAATACCCAAATATTCCAAGCGCCTTTTCTAGCGTCGGTTTATTAATATTTAAATCTATCAACAATTTTATTCTCTCCCCACCTAACACTGTTAGGCCGTCGTCGTTGGTTGTTTTGCAGTGAGGTAGTTAACTACTCACATACGTTGATCGCTCTGCCGACGCTGTTTGTGTTTTATTTCGTTTTGTGCGGTATTCGTTGTGGTCACTCGCACAGTGGGTTAAATTGTAAAAAAAGTGAAATTTAATAATTTTTCGAAGTTTTGTTGATATTTTTGGGATTTCTTCTACTAAACCATGTCGGTCACTCAATTAACACAATTTATTCGTGCTTCTGACAATGTTGTCAAATTTATTGTCGGGTTTAAGCTGATCAAAGCCGAAAGTCATACAATTTTCAATCTTAGAGTTTGAAACACAGAACTTCAAAATTGGTGGAAAAAAGTGAAGGATAATTATGATAATTATCTGGATCATTTGATATCCACAGAGGGTGTATATTCAGAAGATATTTCCTCTGCTGACGCAAAATATCAATCTACGTATAAAAGCTTTGTTGATTGTATGTCGGAAATCAACGAAAAATTGCAGCAGCTTAAATCGATAAAATCTCCTAATTCCACGCCAGCTGCTATAGTCATGAGTACTCCTCAAAATAGTCCATCTCTACCTAATTCTCATGGTTTAACACAACTTGTCACAGTTCGAATCTGCCAAATTTGTCAAGTACTTCGGTCCAGAACACCTCAGGCATATCGATTTCTAATTGGAGTTTGCCACCCACTGCTTCCAATACCATGCATAATCTCAACTTACCACCGTGTGAGATAGATGATTTTCATGGAGATTTCTTGTCGTGGCCCACATTCCGGGAACTTTTCACAGCAATGTTTATAAATAACTCTCGGTTAAGTGACATTGAGAGGCTTTGTCACTTAGTACAAAAACAAAAGGTGAGGCTCCGCTCACTAATAGAAGTTTCGCGTTGGCTTGGCAATCGTTAAAGGATACGTTCGATAATAAACGTATTTTGGTACATAATCATCTAAAGCTCATTTTTGATCTTCCGGTGTTCGATACTGAGACCAGTTCTAATTTGAAAATCCTGCAGCGTGGAGTAAATAGTTGTATTTCTGCAATGTCAGTTTATGATGTAGTCACGGATCACTGGTATCCAATTTTGCTTTTTATTTGTCAACAGCGTTTGCCTAAATTAACTGTAGCATTGTGGGATCAAAGCATCAAAGATAAATCTTCCGTATCCTCTTAAGAAGAATTAGACAAATTTCTCACTGAAAGAATTCAAACTCTAGCTTGCCTACATGATATGAGAGGTCCCTCTTCTAGTTCGGCTCACAAAACTCGAGTTAAATCTCTTGTGCTTAACTCCGCTGTAAACGATAAATCAAAAGCGGCTTGTATTCTTTGTCGAAACTCTTTGCATCCTCTGCGATCTTGTCCTAAATTTAGAACTCTTTCATTCGAAAAGAGATTTGAAACTGCTAAAAAACAGGGGTCTTGCCTAAATTGTCTTTCTGTCGGTCATTTGGTTAAAAATTGCTCTAGTAGTCATAATTGTAACCTTTGTAAAAGTCGTCATCACACTTTGTTGCATAGAACTTCTCCAGCCTCGTCATCTGCCCCATCGAACACATTCCCGCCAAATAATGTAAATTCTCAGCAGGTAGATGGCAATATCGCTTCCACGTCCACTGGCGCTAGTCCTAATGTAATTAATAGTCAAGTTTTCCATGCATCACAAAATCGAAACGTCTTATTAGGCACAGCCATGGTAAACATTGTGCACTTCGGAGTTCCGTATCCAGTT